TTCTGTAACTTCTCTCTCTCTAGCCCATTATTTGTTTATACATGCTGATCATAGTGAGTTCTGTAACTTCTCTCTCTCCACCCTATTATTTGTTTATACATGCTGATCATAGTGAGTTCTTTAACTTATCTCTTAATTCCTTTACTTTGATTAATTTAACTACATTTTTGATATCTTAAACTTTATTTAGTCAGTATTTCTTGCTATATGTACATAAACACTATGTTTCTACCTTTGCCTTACTTTCGGTATGTTGATGTTACAGTAGCACGTGGAGGACCATTTGTATCTGATATTATACTAATTCAAAGTATACATTCGAGTTCAAGAGATCGGGTTTCATCAGTTATCTGTCGTTGCTTGGAAGGATTATACGGAGCTTTGTAATAATGGTGTCATTTCTGATGAATCAGTGATACAATATTTACTATAGTACTCTGCTTTAGCCTATGGCGTTCTTTCGTTTACATTTATACTTGTTGTTGTAATTTTTGTTTTCAAACTTCGCTTGAAATAATATATTTTCCTGAATAAACTGATTTGGAATTTTGACCAATAATATGAACGTCATACACCCGTTCTTAGAAGCATCATTGGTTACTTTTTTATGAGAATATTTGAATAGGATTGTTTAAACAATTCCTATTGGTTGAAAATGTTTTCTTTTGAAACAGCGTTCGGAGAAACTTTTAATTTTATTGGCGCAGAACCCCAGAGCTTTGTTGCCGATATTTTGCACTCGAAATCTAAGCAATCACCGAACAGCTTTCAAGATGGAAAATGAATAAAACTAAGTTATATCTTGTCTTTCGCAAAATATTTTGTTTACTAAATATACATACAAGCAACCAAGAGATTAAAATCTAAAGTCTGATATAAGACCATAAAGTTTGGTGGGTATCTGAAAAACTGTGAGCAGCCTGTAATGTGTATAAACGTTGTTCATGTGTCACATGTGTATCACATGTTTAGTTTGTCACTTCATTTTCTATTTACACTTCGTGCCACATGGCGCCATAAGGCTTGGTTTGATTGTTGTCAAGCGCAAAGCAACGCAATGGACTATCTGTATTCTGCTAACCAAATATATCGAAATCATATTTTTAGGGTCATAAGCCTACAGATTTAGCGCTGAGCACAGCGGTATGTATGCGGACTTACAACGCTAGAAATCGGGTTTCGATACCCGTGGTGGGCAGAGCACAGATAGCCCATCGTGTAGCTTTGTGCTTAACTTCAAACAAACCGCGATGAAGCAAAGACAATTATTTTTTAGCAAATTTTTACACTTTTTATGCTTTCATATAACATATATATATATATATATGTTTCAATATAATGATTATGAATTTATGTACTTAGGTATACACTAATCACTTGAAGAGGTCTTTACCTGTCATGATATTAGTATTCAGAGATGTCGTTCTTCACTCGTGCGAATTTGTCAGCTTTAAAAGTACACGCGGTATTTTTATAATACTCCTAAGAATAAAGCAGCATCAGCTCATTTTAAACAGCTGATATCCAATAATAAATTGCAAATTTATACAAATCAATGAAAAATAAGGTTTAACCATGGTAATATGTTGCTACTCTTTGCTATAAATCAATGCAAATTATTATAGAATTGGAACTAGGGGTGCATCCTTTTAAGATTTGGCTCTATCATTTCAGGCTTCACTTTACTGCAAGGAGGGAAAATAAGATTTAAAGAACCTGAGTCTCTGTTACTTAATGTCGAACTACGCTGTTGGGCTACTGTCAAGATGTATGATCATCATATGTAATATGACCAGAAGTAGCGACATGGACTGTAACGACGTGGTGAGGCTCCGAAGTCGTGTTAATATAACGCACTCATTTCCATATTGAAACAAAAGACATTTGTTTAAAGGAGCGATGTATCTCCTCATAAAATAATCTAAGAATAATGTTTGTCTTAATAGGGGAACGGATAACATTATAACATTCTAGATACTCGATGAAGGGCAAAGTTGGCATGTAGAATGCCTTTCTTCGTATTCCGAAGGACACTGTATTAGCTCCAAAAAATTACACATCAAAGTTATGTGGCTACTTCAAACATCAAAAACGCATCACTTAGAGAGCAACCAGCTAATAAGAATAAAATAACACAGGAAAACAAACTGCATGAAATTCACGAAAATTTTTTGCTTGTTTCTAAA